TTTACATGAAAAATCTTCATGCAATAAATTTTCAATTCCCAGAAAACAGAAATAGATGGAGCCATAACAGTCTAGCACAAGGGGGAAAAATGTGTAAGTACCTGGTTCAATAAGTGAGATTTGTCCTGTTATGGCATAATTTTAATATAGTGGTAATTTTTTATGTTTAAATATTACAGTGTTCCATAGAATCTAACAATGTAACTAAAACTAATTTGTAATTTTAATACACTTATTCTTTTAATGAATGTGCAGAGAACTGGATCAATTCTCCATTCAATGAACTTTTCTTATATAGATGAACGAAGAGAAAAAAGTGTGAGTTAAACAACAAGGACAATATGTCCCCTGAATTAGACTGATATTTAGTAAGATTTCTGTTATTTGGCAATGATTTTCCTAACAGAGCACATTTCTGAAATAATAATGAGAAATATTGGGATATATAATTAGACAATTTTTCACTCCAGCTTCTATTGTTAAAGATTACCTCTAATCACTAAATTGAAGGTGAAGTATAATTTTTTAAGAGAATGAACACTAATTGAGATCATAATTTTCTTGACTTCTCTTGGCCTCTATTTTTCTCTCTATAAATAAGGGGGTGGGTCCAGATGCCCTCTAAGATATTTTCCAGCTAACAACTTCATTTAGTTACCTATTTTAAAAGTCTCTAATAAATAGTCACAACTGTATATAAAAAAAAAGACAATCTGGCAGTTTTTAGTCTATCCTGTTTGTATGTATGCATATAATAAAAATTGACCTTAAATCTGTCGTCTGATATATATTTTTTGCCATATTGCTTCCTTTGTTCATATATTTTTGCTATATGGATTTTTTAAACTTTAAATTGTATATATTGACACTTCTCTATGGAAAACGGAAAAAAAAAAGTACACATTTAAATTTTGTCCCACTTATTCTTCTCTATAGCCTACTCTTTTATCTATATGTTTTATCATTTTTTAGTCCTTCAGAAAGTTGCCTTCATAGTCTTAAATTACCTATTTAGGTTTCTATGTCTCAAATTCTCCATTCTAAGTATCTGTGAACTCCCTGCTAGGAAAAATGAAGAAAACAGTATATCTACATTTCTTTTCATATCCCGGCCCACACCCTTATTTCCCAACTCTCTTGCTGTTCTTTATAACATTAGTATAACCGACATTCTTATCTAAGTATTTCATTGTTCCTTTTATTGTTAAGCAGACAAGAAGAAAGAAGTGATAACAGGCCACAACCCAATTTAGATGATTTAGGACAGTTAGGACTTTTGAGCTGATGAGATTTAGAAGAGCTTTTCGGACTTTGAATTGATGCTGTAATAGGATGAGACTTTGCATTGGGATGGACGTAAATCTTTGGGAACCAGAGAGCAAATTGTGGTAGGCTTAAGTTCACATTCTAATTCCTGGAACCTGTGAATATGTTATTTTACAAGACAAAATAGACTACAGATCTTTTTTTTTTTTTTTTTTTAAGTTACAGGGCTTGAGATGGGGAGATTATCTTGGATTGTCTAAGATAGGTGGATCCAATTTAATCACATGATGTCGTCTGAGCCTACTGTTGCCACGTAAGTAGAAAGTTTCTCAACTAAGTAATATGGGTGGCCTCTAGAAGCTGGGAATGACCTTCAGTTTACAGCTAGTAAAAAAATAAGAACTTTGATCCTACAATCATAAGGAAAAAAAAATTCTGCCCGCAACTCCTATATAGCAGGAAACAATTCTCCCCTAGAAACTCCAGAAAAGAATGCAGCCACCTGCTTACTTGATCTGTTCCACTGAGAACCACAAGAGATTTCTGATCTTACATAAATGTAAAATAATAAATTTGTGTTGATTTAAGACACCAAATTTATGGTAATTTGTTAAGGCAGTAAGGGAAAGGTGGAAACTGTTTTAGTTCATTTTAATCCTTCCTTATATTAAGAGCATTCCACTCATGTAATCTCTACTTACTTCTTGACCATATCAGGATCCTATTAAGAGGAAGGAGTGGTGGTAGGGATAATAAACAGCGATGGCCAGTGCCTGCCACAGATAACTAGTCCCCCTGATTTGGTTTATGTCTCTAGTCCTACCTCTCAGACTTTCCCCTCATGCTTTATGATCCAACACTTCTAATCTATGAGATTATCTTCAGTTTCTATGCTCTTGGTAATTCAGTTCCCCCCTTTCTGGAACACCTTTAGCCAATTGCTTCATATTATCCTATTAACCCATCTCCTGGCTCCCTTTCACTCTCCTACTTCTTCTTTTTTTTTTTTTTTTTTCCTTTCTTCTCCTAGTCTTTTATTTGTTAAACAGTAATCTTTAACAATAAATGCCAAAGGAAAGCAACAAACAAAAGCAGGGATTTGCATAATAGATGGGAATGACTGTGAGCCATGGCAGACCAGAAGTTTCTGTTTTCTTCTGTGGGGCCAGGAGTCCACAATGTGGTGTGCTCATCTTTCTTTTCCCCCACAAAGGTCACAAACAGCTTAGATGGGAGGCTGAACGCGATGACTGGTCCTAATTTTTGCTATTCAACCATTTTTCTTGATCTTGCTCTCTGACTCCGTACATTCCAGACTGTTCAATGGATTTGTAATAAACTTCCAAGATGAAGGGAAATTTCTTGCTCATCATTTGCCTGAAATCTTGGCTTGTGTTCATCTTATTAAATAAAAAATATGCTCCAAAAACGCCCAAGAGTTCAGCTACTAAAACTCCTTTAAAGATCTTCTTTGCCACTGGTTCCATAGTGCGGGCCATCATATAATCAACAGGCAGGTGAGTGGGTGGGGAGAACTGTTTTGCTGTTTACGATGCTGTACCTGAGGTGCTCTCACTCTCCTACTTCTTAATGCATATTCTTTCACTGAGTCTTCTTGACTTCAAGATTACATTACAGTGTTTATTCAGTTCTGTGTCTGCCCTTTATCCATACACAATTATGCTTTTGTTAAACCTAAAGCTAGCCAGTTATTTCACTAGCAGAATGAGTTTATTTGGGAATAGCAGAGGAATTACAATTCAGGACAAGCAAACTATAGTGAATCATAGGCAAGTCCAGAGAACCAAATGAGAGAGGTTTATTTCTATGGAGGACAGGACAAAACTGTGAAGGACTTTCCTGAACAAAAGTGCACTGGAGTGGGGTGAGAGTTTGAACTTAAAAAAAAAACAATTTTTTAACAATTTTATTTGAGAGAGTAAGAGAGCGTGTGAGTGATGAAACATGAGTGTGGAGTGGGCTGCAGACTGGGGGAGAGGCAGAGGGAGAAGCAGAGGGAGAGGCAGAAGCAGACTCCCCACTGCAGCCCGGGAAGCCCAAGGTGGGGCGAGGGGGTTCCATCCTACGACTCCAGGATCATGACCAGAGCCTGAACCAAAGGCAGATCTCAACTGACTGAACCACCCAGGTGTCCCTAAAGAATTTGAACTTCTCATTGGCTATTCCTATTGCTGGGCAAGGAGAAAAGTTTACTGGGGCAGTAAATTAAGCTTCTTCCTGCTGAGGATGCAAGGTATGGCTCTTCCCTCCCTCCCCGCCCCCCCTTCTTGGCATGCAATTGACAACCTGTGGTAGTCCCAGAGAGCTCTCCCTTCAAGGCTTCTCCTGCTCCATTTGAGATGATATTTCCTTTATTTTCACAGTATATACCATAATAAATTATGTTTGTGTTTACCTTCTGTCTCTCCTTCTGACTCTTACCAGTGGCTACCGCTATGGTCAAATGTTTGTTAATATGATCATTATACCTAATAATATTCATGACTTGAGTGTTTGAATTATGTGTTCTTCATAAGGAAATTATACTGAACAGTACTCACTATAGACCTACACACACTTTTCATAATTTACATTATTAAAGTTTTTTTAAATGTACAAAAGTGGAGAGATTATAATTAATCCCCATTAACGATACTTCAACTTCAATAATCATCAATATTTTCATATACATTTTAAAATCAGAAAGCCAGTAGTATATATCCCAGCAGCATGACCTATTGTCAACAGGAATTGACTTACATCTAAAATGAGGAAACATATTTCAATTCTCCAGGATTATAGTTCTGGGGAACTTTAACAACAATGACAGACAAAACTCAAAAAGAACCATGAAGTACTACCAGTGACCAAGAAGGAAAAAAAGAAGGTTCTCTTACAGACTAGAATCTGAAAAACAAGTGTCCTGGGTGGCCATCACATGCTACAGGACTTGTCCATGAAAGCCATTCCTGCCAATTATGACTTAATTCAAGAGAAAGTTCAAGTATTTTGTTTTCGTTTCCGTTTACAACAGCCGATTTCAGTATTAGCAATTGAGAAAACGCGTCCCTGCTCTCTTGGATAAATGACATTCGCTGAAGATTGCTTGAACTCATTTATCCCAAAACAAAAGCAGCGGGCTGATGATGTCATTAGAAGTTAACACGGCTGTCCCTCCGGCCTTCCTCTGCGCCCCGCAAGGAGGTAGGGGTTTCTTGTAGGAAGGCTGGAGGGGTGTGGGGTGTTTAGAGGAACCCCATCCAGAACCCATCCAGATCCCAGGCAAAGGAGCATTCTTTAAAAGGTAGGAAGAACGAAAAGACAAAGGCTCTGAACCTAGGCCTGGGATAGGAACACGGCTTAACAGAGCGAGCACCTAAGGTTCTTCACTCCCCTACCTCGAATGGGGGGCGGGAGGGGAGGAATAGGCCCGAACTACACTTCCCAGAATGCAAAGCAGTGGGGCGGTGCTAAAGAAATGGTGTGTTTTTACCTTAACGTGGCTCCAGGAGCTTCGGGTTTGATTATAAACTGCAGTCGCTCTTCTTGGCTCTCCTTAACCTCAGCCTAATTGGCTCCGTAGTAGTGGCGTGGGAGGGCGCTTAGACGTCACGGGCAGCGGTTGAATGGAGGCTCTCAGCCCCGCGACCTGACGGTAAATGAAGTCCCATCTCTGGTCAGAGCCGTAGCTTCTCTAACTATGTTGGAGCAAGAGAACTACATTACCCAGTAAGCCTCGGGGCTGGGAGAGGGCGTGGGGGCGGCACCTCACGTCTGGTACAGTCATCCCAAGCCTCTTCGGCGGGACTGTGATGGCTGGAGAGATGACGATCTTAGGTCAGTGACCAGGGGTTCCTTGTGGTTGTGGGCACCCGCGCAGTTTGGGGAGGCCGGGATGGGCGTGGGTGGTTGTCACTTCCTGGGTCCAGTTGGCGCAGTGGGAAGGATTCCGGAAAGGTGACTTAAAGGCGGTTTTTGGTTCTTCGGGGCGCCGGATTGAGGGTCGCGTCTAGAAACGGTCTGGGCCAGAGTAGGCCTTGTGGGGCCGGCGGCGACCCTCTGCGTACATCCCAGGAACATCGGGCCTCGGGAAGGGTTCTTTTCGAAAAGTCGTTGGTTTTGAATCGTTGGTTGAATTTGGGCCTTTGGGAGGCTGCAAGAACGTGCGTCTCCAGGACCCCTTCGTAGAGGAAGGGGGAGGAGCAGTACCGGCGGCCTGAGCTGTAGACGCAGGGGATGCTGCGTTTTGAGAGAGCCAGGCCTCTTGGAGGTATAGTCTGACGCACTCTCCGCCAATCTGGGTTAGTAATCAACCGTCCCCGAGCGAGAAGATAATGAAATGTTTCTGGCGTTCTCCACGTAGGAGCTAGAGGAAAGTGGGGTTGGCACTTGATTTTTCTTTTCTTTTCTTTCTTTCTTTCTTTCTTTTTTTTTTTTTGAGTTATGTGTTGATGAGGATGAGCTCACAATTAGTAAAACAGACTCCTGCCAATTGACGTTTTGGGTCGTATGTAACACGTATGGACATAGTCGCCTGAAACCGAGTAACAGATTAGTTGTAAATTCGAAGTGGCATCTTCATCCCTAATGTTTGCGATCTGCATGGCGTTTGTTCATATTTGTGTGTGTGTGTATGTGTGTGTGTTTCTTTAAATCATTATTTGTTGAGCATCTGCTGTGTCCTAGGAGACATTCCTAGTGCAAGGGATACAACAGAGAATAAAACCTGCCTTCAGGGAGCTTTATGTTGCATTTAGGGTTAGACGTTTATGGTTCTCCTTCCCTAAATGTTAACTTCTGCAAGAAGTATTTGCTTAATTCGTATTTAAATACAGAAAAAGTTAATTGTTTCTGTTAATTAATTCTGTTGTAAAGTAGCAGTTTCATATTTAAACAACTTTCAAAATAATCTTCCCAATTTATCCAGTTCATCCTTTTGAAAGGAAAAAGAACATGAGGGGATAAAAAGTTTTAGCCCTTCAGTAACAGAGTTTTTGCTGTCGAAATTCTAATAATGGAGTTTCTTTTTAGTAATGATAAAGCTGTCTATAAAGCTATGAGATCTAAATATTAATTGACCAAGAAATTGAATTATATCTATATTCCATTTATCTAGTTTTTGGTAGAGCTAAATGGCTTTTCCTGTCAGCATCAGCACAATTATTTATGTTTTTACTTTATCTTCACCCATAGGTGAAGTAGTCAGACATACAACTACAGGGTTTTGGTTTTTGTTTTTTTGGTTGTTTCTTCATTTTAACGGTATTATAGTTGTTTTGCATTATGAAAAACTTGGTGTCTGAGGAAGTGTTATCTATAGTACTATAAAAGAAAATATTTGAGAGTGCATTAGTCTTGTTTCAAAGAGTGATATTAAAGAGACTTTGCTATGGTAATTTAGCATATTGTACTAGTTTAATAAAACATATATTTTAATTTGCCTATATTTCAGGATCAGCTGTTTTGACTCTTCTGTTGGCTGGCTATTTGGCACAACAGTATTTACCGTTGCCTACTCCTAAAGTGATTGGCATTGACCTTGGTACCACCTACTGTTCTGTCGGGGTGTTTTTTCCTGGTACGGGAAAAGTAAAGGTCATTCCAGATGAAAATGGGCATATCAGTATACCCAGCATGGTGTCGTTTACTGACAGTGATGTATATGTGGGTTATGAAAGCTTAGAGCTGGCAGATTCAAATCCTCAGAACACAATATATGATGCCAAGAGATTCATAGGCAAGATTTTTACCCCAGAAGAGCTGGAGGCTGAAGTTGGCAGATACCCATTTAAGGTAAGTGATTAAGCTAAAAATCTATTGTAATTTTAGTTCAGCATACTGTTTCAGTTGATGCCTTGGCCTCGAGGTACAAAACATTCTGTTTCAATTTACTTAGTCTGCATGGAAGCTACATTATAACAGGCTGTCCTACAGCAATTCCAGGATGAATTAATTCATGGGCTTCACAGAGCTGCTGTGTTCTTGCTCTGCCATTTTCAGAATATCTTCTCTCAGAATATCTGCTTAGCTCTTTTTTCGCTGTAGCAAGAAAGCTGATGAAACCCCATGAAATATGGTTGGATGGAGGGATGATGGATGTCTGCTTGCCTACCTGCTTAGCTCTTCTGTTGTAGCAAGAAGGCTAATGAAGCCCCATGTACTATGGATGGATGGATGGATGGATGGATGTCCAGATAGATGGAAAGATGCTCTCTGTGTTAGGATAATCATATTTATATACTTAAAAAGAGATAATAGAGGCATGCGATTTTATGACTTGTTTGAAACTCAACAATATGACTGGTTCCTTAGAATGATATTTGGAGTTTTTTAATTTTCTAAGTGTTGGATTTTTGTTGTTTATGTTTCATGTGGGATCTGACAGGATAGTGTCTTTGGGCCTCATTTTAATAGTATCTGTAGCTTTTTATTTTTCCCTGATAGGTTGGTAGATGGTCAATTTTTCATCATTGAAACCTAATTATGTAGTCTAGAATGATGGGGGTAAAAATTCTTATAATTTCTTAGAAGAATAATTCCCTTTACTCTTGATATGAATAGTCTTTGGTGAAAGTAGGATAGTATGTTTTAGAATTAACCTAGTTTTTTAAATGCACAACCACATTAGCAGGGATAGTGACCTAATACATGTTTTCATGGAAATATGAATGTAAGTGATATTTGATTCTTTTTTTTTAATTTTTAAAATTTTAAAAAATTTTTTTATTAACATATAATGTATTATTAGTCCCAGGGGTACAGGTCTGTGAATTGCCAGGTTTATACACTTCACAGCACTCACCATAGCACATACCTTCCCCAATGTCCATAACCTTACCACCCTCTCCCTACCCCCCTCCCCCGACAACCCTCAGTTTGTTTTGTGAAATTAAGAGTCTCTTGTGGTTTGTCTCCCTCCTGACCCCATCTTGTTTCATTTATTCTTTTCCTACCCCCCAAACCCCCCACGTTGCTACTCAACTTCCTCAAGTGATATTTGATTCTTGGATAAGAACATAATGAAGTACTAAATTATTCTTGTTAATATGTTCCAGAGCATTTTTTCAGGTATCTATTATTTTTGGAAACAAGTTAACTAAATAAAAAAGATCCTAAGTCAAATACATGATCCAGCAACTTTTATTCCTTATATATTTCATCTTTTTTTCTTTCATTCATTTAACATATATATTAAGAATCTTCTGTGTTGCCTTCATATGCTTGGTGATGGATTATTTTTATTCTGCTGTTACTGTAGATTACACTTTATGGATTTTTAAAGTATAGCTTTTAATAACTTCTAATCTTAGTAAATGATAGATTACAAATAAATGACCTTATAAAGTTTTTCTTGAGTAAGTCCAGTGTGTATGTATGTATTTAAGTATATGTGTGTATGTGTATATGTATGATTTTACTTTTCTTTTCTTTTTTTTTTTTTTTTTTTTGGCAAATCCTATCTACAGGTTTTAAACAAAAACGGAATGGTTGAGTTTTCTGTGACAAGTAATGAGACCATCACCGTTACCCCAGAATACGTTGGCTCTAGACTATTGTTGAAGTTAAAGGAAATGGCAGAGGAATATCTTGGAATGCCAGTTGCCAATGCTGTTATTTCTGTACCAGCAGAATTCGATCTAAAACAGAGAAATTCAACAATTGAAGCGGCTAACCTTGCAGGTAATATCACCCTTGCTTGAGCTGTATTTTTCTCAAAATGTTCTTAGGTTGAAAATCTTCCGTAGTAAGGTGTATCACTTTGAAAACCACCTAACTAGGCACATAAATAAACCCAGAGTGGGTTAATTAGGTGGATTTTGATATGTTTACAAACAAAAATTAAGAAAATTCTATAGCACAATGTAAGTTGCAACATGCTATGACAATAGCCAGTCAGGTAGGCCTCTAACAAAGGCTGAGAACGTGGGTGCACGTTAGCAATGAGGAATTTTTTTCTACCAACTTTCTTTAACGTTAAGATGACTGAAATATTTTTTTTTGAAAATCTGAGGTAGAAGAGAACTCATTTGAAGCCATTCATTAAATATTGAGTGCCTTGGTAAATGAAGCAAATAAATCTCTGTTCTCATGGAATTTATATTCCACTGGAGGGAAACAGAAAGTCTGTATTAAAGATAAGTATATTCTGGGGTTTCCCGCTCTTATCATTATTGACATTTTGGGCTAGATAATTCTGTGTTGTGGGCAACTGTCCTGTGCAGTAGAGGTCACTTAGCTCACCCCTAACCTCTGCTCATTAGGTGCTAGCAGCCCTCTCCTCTCCAAGTAGTTGCAACCTTTTTTCTTCAAATGCTGTCAGATATTCCCTAAGGGGCAGAATTGCCCCTGGTTGAGAACCTTGATAAAACATACATCAGAAAGTAACATGCTATGGAAGAAAAAAAGAACAGAACAGGAAGAGGATTGCTGGCGGTGATCAGGAAGTGGGGGAACTTGCAGGTTTTAGAGTGGTCGGGTAGGCCTCATTGAGAAAATAACGTTTAAGCATATTTGAAGGAGACGACGAGGTTGTTAGCCAAGCTGATGTATAGGGGAAGGATCTTGCAGGGGAGAGAACAGTCAGTGTTGCAGCCATAAAATGGGAATTTGCTAGTGCTAATGAAGATGGGAAGTTGGTCAGTGTGACCAGAGCGGAGTGAGCGATGAAGTCAGAGAGCTAAGGGAAAAGGTATGAAAGGTTTTTAAATAAATTCTTCAGAATTGGAATAGTTATTTATGGCTCCTGATGCATAAATGCCATATTACTTTCCAACCACTCATGACATGTGGCAGTTGGTTAAAGTAGGAAGTTTGTGCAAGGAAATCTGATCTTTTCTGCCTAAACTTTCACTGTTTTGCATTACCTTCAAGATCAGATTTGCTGTATATTTCAGATTTACATGTGAGAGTCTTAAATTTTAAGTACGTTTTTAAGAGTCATTGTACCGATTGGAACACTATATGGTCTGTGGTGTGAGTGGGAGGGGTAGAGAGGAATAAATCTACATCTAAAATTTTTTTATAATCTCTTCTGTTTACTTACCTGCTTTTTTTCAAAGTCACTTTAAAAAGAAGAGCTTAGTAAGCTTATTTCATTTCCACAGGAATTTATTATAGTGCATAATGATTAAAGTTTTATTACTCTTATATTCCCAAGTAAAATAATGAAAATTAAAAGGGGCTAGGATTTTTTAAATTAAATATTAAATAATACAGAACATAATGATATATTCCACTAAATCTGGGCTTTTCTTATATTAATAATTTTTAAGATGATTTTAGTGATTCCATTTAGAACAACCAATATTTATCATTCCCATTTCACTATTTTTTTTTAAGATTATTTATTTATTTATTTATTTATTTGACAGACAGAGGTTACAAGTAGGCAGAGAGGCAGGCAGAGAGAGGTGGAAGCAGGCTCCCTGCTGAGCAGAGAGCCCGATGCGGGGCTTGATCCCAGGACCCTGGGATCATGACCTGAGCCGAAGGCAGAGGCTTTAACCCACTGAGCCACCCAGGCGCCCCCATTTCACTATTTTTGATGGGTTTGTGACTGCTCCCATTGTTACTCAGTGGAGTCCTTGTCACATAAAACACACTAACATGGTATGAGGTTGAGTGGGAAGGAATTTTGATAATGCTGTCCTCTGATGACTTGTTCTTCCTTCCAACCAATCTTACAGGACTGAAGATCTTGAGGGTAATAAATGAACCCACAGCGGCAGCTATGGCCTATGGCCTCCACAAAGCTGATGTCTTTCATGTCTTGGTGATAGATTTGGGCGGAGGAACTCTAGATGTGTCATTGCTGAATAAACAAGGAGGAATGTTTCTAACCCGAGCAATGTCTGGTAAGAAAAATACATGGAGACTGAAAGAGGTTCAGACGTGCTTTTCTTATTAGCACACCTAATGTGTTGTGTTGATTTTAAAACTTTTTTCAGGGGGCACCTGGGTGACTCAGTTGGTCAAGCGTCCAACTCTTGGTTTAGACTCAGGACACAATCTCAGGATTATGAGATTGAGCCCCGTATGAGGCTCTGCATTTGGTGTGGATTTGCTTGAGATTCTTTACCCCTCTGTTCTTCTCCTTGCTCGCACGTGCGTACGCTTGCTCTCTCCAAAATAAATCAATGAAAATAAAAAAACAAAATTTTTTTTCACTATACTTGGACTTCATTTTGGTGGTCTGTATATGTGATTTTATAACCACCATTTATATATATAATAACAACAAAAAGTGAAGTAAAAAAAAAAATGAGCACCCTCTCAAGCAAATAAATACATTGCCAGTTGTAGCTCACTGAGCCAGTAGGACTTCATGGCTATGGTGAAGGGAACAGAAAGCAAAAAAAATCCTTTAAGTATTTACCCTAAAGATACAAATGTAGTGATCCGAAGGGGCACATGCACCCAAATGTTTATAGCAGCAATGTCCATAATAGCCAAACTATGGAAAGAACCTAGATGTCCATCAACAAATGAATGGATAAAGAAGATGTGGTATATATATACAATGGAATACTATGCAGCCGTGAAAAGAAACAAAATCTTGCCATTTGTAGCAACGTGGATGGAACTAGAGGGTATTATGCTGAGTGAAATAAGTCAATCAGAGAAAGACAATTATCATATAATCTCTCCGATATGAGGAATTTGAGAGGCAGGACAGGGGTTCATGGGGGGTAGGGAAGGAAAAAATGAAACAAGATGGAATCAGGAGAGAGACAAACCATAAGAGACTCTTAATCTCACAAAACAAACTGAGGGTTGTTTTGGGGTTGGGGGGAGGGTTAGGTTGGCTGGGTTATGGACATTGGGGAAGGTATATGCTATGGTGAGTGCTGTGAAATGTGTAAGCCTGATGGTTCACAGACCTGTACTCCTGAGGCAAATAATACATTATATGTTAATAAAAAAAATGAAAAAAGAAAAATCCTTTAAAATGAAGAGTGATCAGTTTATTTCATTTGATACATGTTTTACAAAATATGTTTAGAAAATCTAATAATAGTGTTCCCTAGGAAATTATAGGATTTTGTATTCTAAATCTTTTAAGTTTTTTTTTTTGTTTTTTTTAATTTCAAGAATGGAGGCTGTTTGAAAAGTGAAGCTATAAGTTATAGGTTGTCTAGCATTTTTCTTTTTCCTACCTGGACTCTTTAGAACCATATTCAATGCCAGAGAGTTGTATCAACATTAATCTTTTGCTTCTAAATCTCTCTCTCTCTCTTTCTTTTTTAAATTTTAGCTCTTAAGCAAAAGGATTGAAAGATAAAGATAAAATGGCTACTGTTACTTTTTAATTATAAAGACTTTTTTTTCTCATGAGAGTAGTAACATTCAGTGTTTTTAAATTGCTATTAAAAGCTAATCTTTCGTCAACTTTTATCTTTGGAAAAATTATTTGGTATCATTAAGTGATAGTTCATTTTTTATAAAAATTTTTTAACCAGGGGCTCCTGGGTGGCTCAGTGGGTTAAAGCCTCTGCCTTTGGCTCAGGTCATGATCCCAAGGTCCTGGAATCGAGCCCCACATCTCTGCTGAGCAAAGAGCCTGCTTCCTCCTCTCTCTCTCTGCCTGCCTCTCTGCCTACTTGTAATCTCTGCCTGTCAAATAAAATAAAATCTTAAAAAAAAAAAAATTAACCAGATATCCACTGTTTTTAAATAATATACATTAGAGTTAAAATTATTTTAATCCAATTATTTTACATCAGTCTTTGTGTGAATAAAATCTAAATAGTTAAGTACGTTAAGCAAGAGATTTGTTATTCCTAGTATATTGTTTTCATACGTGCTACACAGACATATATATATATATATGCATATATATATATATATATATATATACATGTACACATACAAATACATAAGTATAACATATGCCTTTTTATTTCTAACTTAGGAAACAATAAACTTGGAGGACAGGACTTCAATCAAAGACTTCTTCAGTATTTATATAAACAGATCTATCAAACATACGGCTTTCTACCCTCTAGGAAAGAGGAAATTCACAGATTAAGACAAGCTGTGGAAATGGTCAAATTAAATCTGACTCTTCATCAGTCTGCTCAGTTGTCAGTATTACTAACAGTGGAGGAAAAGGACAAGAAGGAGCCTCAGAGTAGTGACACTGACCTGCCAAAGGACAGATTTTCTCCTGCTGATGGCCACCATGTGAACAGTGTGGTTGGAGCTGGGCTTTCTGAAAAGAAAAGTGGAGAAAGTCAGGTGTTATTTGAAACAGAAATATCACGGAAGCTCTTTGACACCCTTAATGAAGATCTCTTCCAGAAAATACTTGTACCCATTCAGCAAGTATTAAAAGAAGGCCACCTGGAGAAGACTGAGATCGATGAGGTGGTTTTGGTTGGGGGTTCTACTCGTATTCCTCGAATCCGCCAAGTCATTCAGGAGTTCTTTGGGAAGGATCCCAACACTTCTGTAGACCCTGACCTGGCAGTGGTGACAGGAGTGGCTATCCAAGCAGGGATTGATGGGGGCTCCTGGCCTCTCCAAGTCAGTGCTTTAGAAATTCCCAATAAGCATTTACAAAAGACCAACTTCAACTGAATTATGGAGGAATGATTATTTGTGATTGTCTGATGAGCATTTCCTCTTTATCAGACCACCTCCTCCAATAAAGAAAAGTCTAAAATACTCAGAAATTTACCTGAAAGGTAGCATTTAGATACACAGAATTTTACATAACATTTGGTTTTAGGATTAAATGTGACCAGATTGAGCCTACGTGATTTTGGAGAGATCTCATTCCAACAAATAATTTTCACATGATAGAGTTGAAGTAAAACTGTTGCAGGAGCATGGGTGGTTTTATTTTCTGGATTCTGTAAGTAGATAACCACATGCACTTAAAAGGACATTCTGTAAACATTGCCTAGTGCCAATATTACGATTCCCAGTTCTTACTAAATTGTATTAGCAGGAGCTGGTAATTGATTTACTTGGATATCACATGTAACTATTAGTTTGAACTATACTTGAAGGACAGTATTGGTGTCAGGTTTTTACATTGGCTGGGAGATAGCAGTATTAGGAATATAAGCTGCATATATAATGTTCAGTAACTGCCATATTATGTAATAAATTTACTTTCACAAATTCCGTGTCCTATTTACATAACCTGCATTCTTCAGATTTTTAAATTATTTATTGTATCAACTTTCTTTCTAAAATAGCTACAGATTTATTCAGGTGTTTCAATACCAGACAGTAAATGTAACCAATGTATATTCCAGTTCTTTGGTTGCCATCATCATCTTTCTCTGCTTGGATTTCCATGATTCTGCCTGATTAAACACAGTTGGGAATTATTTATTTCATTTTACACATGTCTTAATGTCACAATAAAGCCATCATTACTATCTCTTCTTTGTTACCCAAGACCTTTGCAGACATTGATAAGTACCAGTAATTAGCCACAGTATTTATGTTTTTGTTTCTTTATTTTCAGTAAGCCCGGGAGCATGTAGCTTGCATTTGAACTAGCCAATCATACTTGATTCAGTTTTTACTGAGATTTTTTTTCCATGTATTAGTTTTGAATGAGGAAAACATGCTCACTTGTAAAATATTGTTTCCCACTATCGCTTTACAGTAGTCCCAGTTGGACTGCTTTTAGCCTTAAGGTGGTTAGTATGTGATGCGAGTAAAAAAAAAAAAAAAATTAAACATTGGAAGTAATGTGGCAATATAATGTGGAGGGCAATGTGGAAAAATTTCTACAAATCAGCATTTGTAGCAGTTTTGTATGGATTTTGTTTGTTTCCTTTTAGAAATGCTACAGGGACCAAGATAGAAAATGTAGCAAGTAGTTCTATTACTGTGATGCCCAAAGTTGAAGGGTTTTTTTTTTTCTTTTCCTTAATGCATGCTTCATACTAATATTCAAAGATTATACTCTGGTCAACATGTTTGTTAATGTAAAAAGTATGTCTGCTTTATCTGTTGTTGAATTTAAAGGTTATTCAATTTCCAATCACCGAAAAAGAGAACTAAGCAGACATTTCAGCAACATCGAACATTTCAGCTTCTCACAGTAAAAAGCTTAATGTTAATATTTTTTGCAGATCTAAAAAAAAAAAAAAATTGTAAGCGATGAGATTGCTGTTAAAACACAATTTCAATCACATAGTTTTGTGTACAGATTGTCTAGTAAGTAGATAGAAAAGTAAAAAATGTTTGTTGACATATTTTATTTTAAAACTAACGGAGAAATGCCAAAGATGAATCCTTCACTGCATTATGAAAATCTTCATGTGTTCTCTTGGACTTGATATGAATCTTTAATAGACTTAAAATTGGAAAAGATCTTTTTGCTTAGGTCTTAAGAGGAAAGTGTTCAATCTATCAAAGTCTCCACATATATTATCAGCTTTAACCTAAAGCATTTTAACATTTAAAAAAAAAGTCTTGACTCTCTCAAATACATGAGATAGTTCAGGAAGATCTGTTACCACTTTTTAGTGGAAACAGTTTGCAAAACAGGGCAGCTAATCTCATACTAATGTTAGAATTTAAATAATTTGATCGTGTCCAAAAAAGAGAACAGCGGTGCTGGAACTTGGGGGCAAAAGTTTAGCGTATTCTCTAGTATAGTTACGCCTTTAAAAATACAAAGCAATGTCTATCTTCAATCATATTTTAGGGGCCTCTGTATAAATGGTCTTGAAATCAATGTAGTTTATTTATTTAAAAAATCAAAATGCATCCCAAAAGGGATCGTTTATGCCTCATAATCTTGACATTTTCCGTAAAAGAATACGTTTTGGCTGTACCTGTAACTAGTGTTTTTTGAAGTGCATTAACTTTTTAAATATTAACTGTTGTATGAGTAGAATATGTGAATGAGTAATTTATTTTGTATCAGGAATGTTTCGGTACTGTGTTTTCACTCCAACCACTGACTTAACAGATGCTACCATGTATAACATGTACTGAAATTTATATAGTTATTGTGCATAACAGATTGTGCCTCTTAAATTTGTGTGTGTACAGGTAATTCACATTTGAATGTAAATAAATACCACTTTGCAGTTTGTTTTTTAAACTGTGTACTTTCTTTTTCCATGCACGGCTAGGCCAGAGTACTTTTTTGAGGTTTGTAAGTGAAAAGGGAAGCAGGGCCAGCTGATGGGATGCTCATGGCGCATGAGCTCTGTGGCTCTTGCCCTCTCCCCTGCATCCTGACGCTGGGGTGGCTTATGTCCTTTTCCACTTACTTTCCTAATTTAGAAGTGACAGTTCCTTTATCATAGAAGCAGCAGTTCCAGAATTCTGAATACCAATTCATGACCTTTGACTATAATGGAACAAAGACCTAAATTAATCTGTAGTTCGTGAATAATCCCACATAATAGACTACTGTAATCCTTTGGTGGATTCAGTAATACTTCATCATTTTCTAATAAAGTTTGTTGTCTTCTTTGCATAAAAACTATATATACATATTTTATCTATTTAAAGAAATTCATTTGATTAATGTAGTCTTTTCAGATGAGCCCTTGAAGATAGTAGACTTGACTTTCCAATTGTTTTCTGTGATTCCTTCATGGTTTTTCTAACCACCATTGCTGAGGGACTCAAATGAGGAAATAGAGTGACCCTCCCGCAACAAAAACACAGCAGCCCACTGAGATAGGCAGCCTACAGTGTAGCTTCCAGTGACCCCTATTTTCTGGTATTCACCTTTTGTGATCTTCCCCTGAATGTGTGCGAGATTGGAGGACTCCCTAATGATGGGAGGTAGGTACATGGAGGTGAATGAGCTCCCCAGCGGACAGCACCAACTTCCGGCTGTGAGAGCCTTCTCAAAAGTGAGCCCTCTCTTCCTTAGATAATGCGGCCACAGTTGAAATTCAAGTATAATCTCATGAGAGATTTAAACCGGAATAGTCCAGCTAAGTGGATTCCTGACCAAGGAAATTATATTTTTATGGTTTTAAGCCATTGAGTTTTGGACTAATTTGTTGTTCAGCAATAGATTAATAGAGTACTATGTATCAGTACTGCTCTAAATGTTTAATGATAGGGGCACCTGGGTGGCTCAGTGGTTAAGTGATTGCCTTTGGCTCAGGTCATAATCCTAGGGTCCTGGGATCAAGTCCTGTGTTGGGCTCCCTGCTCAGTGGAGAGTCTGCTTTTCCCCCTCCTCTGCCCCTCTCCCCGCCACTCACTCTCTCTCAAATAAGTAAAGAAGTAAAAATCTTTAAAAAAATGTTTTAGTGATGACCACTTAAGTTTTGTTCCAGCAAACCAATGAGTAGGTACTATTATCCCCATTTTCAGATAGGGAAATTAAGGCACAGGTGTGTCAAGAAATTTCCCTAGGATTGATTATACAGCTAGTAAGTGGCACAGAGTCAGGATTCAAATCCAATCCATGCTCAAATGCAGTGCTGTGCTGCTTTATCCATCACATAGTAAAACCCCATAGTACCGACTTTATTCAGTTACTTAATTACTGGATGGTATCCATGAAAGACTTCTTATTTAGCAGATGATAGATAGTAAAATTAAAGATTTTGATGCTATTTAATCCTTTATACTTCTGACTAAATAACTGGTTTTTGAGAGTACCTAGAGCAAAAAAGTACTTGATATTACAAATGGCTGTAGTAGAAAGATAAAGAAATAAGCAAAGAAGTTCAGTGACTCGCCAATTTATGTGGGATTGTAAGAAAACGCCACAGTAAAATACGTTATTATTTTACCTATGACTCTCAAGCCCCTGATTCTATAGTTCTCAAGTTTCTGCAAGTTACTGAAAATTTTCCTGAAATATGAAAGAAAATAAATTTACCTTGGTAAAGCATGTATGTACTTTGTAATAAGAATTAATAGATATTAAGTAAAAAACATGTTTTTAATTGACATTATTTGGATGTTAAAGCTGGACCAAATGCTGTTTTATACCTTATTGAATTAATTATCATCTGGCTGACCTAAAAAATCTCCTTGTAACTTTATTAACGTATGCATATCACATAAACACACATACATTTCTCCTATTAAAGAGTTGATCCATTCACCTTAAAATCATCTAATGTGGCCTATATAGTATTGGAAATTGGGAATTGGATCTCAGTTAGTACTTGTAATAACTGCTCTTCCTCTGTCTCCCACTTTGCTAAATTAAAGTTATTTTGCTGAGATTAGTTCTGGTTGAAAAAGACTGTGGCAGAAAGCAGTTATGGCAGAACCTGCCGAATGCTATATTGCAGTATCTTTCCTATCAAAGATAGAAATATGTTTAAAGCAGCAACACCCACTGCTTTAAAACCTGTTTCCCATCTTTCTTTGCAGCTAGGGGTGGCTAGTGATACAATTCTGACCACTGAGATGTAAGCATAAATCCCTAGATAAAAACCCCACAGGCTTTTATTTTCTTTAAAGTTTACACATTTGTGCTATTAAATGTTTTGTTCCTCACCATTCCTTTCTTCTTGCAATGCAGACAAAAACAACAGGTTTTTCCAACTACCAACGAAGATGGGCTATGGATGATGTTTGAGCAAAAGATAGAAGCAGCCTGGTGGTATTATCGAACCATACTGGCCAACTTTGTCCTCTCTACCTTGAGACTTCTTTCTACTTAAGAACAATAAACCCCACAAGGGGTGCCTGGCTGGATTAGTTGGTAGGGCATACAACTCTTGATCTCAAGGCTGTGAGTTTGAGCCCGTTAGGCATAGAAATTCCTTAAAAAAATTAAAAAAAAAACAAACCCTTAGTTGTTTACCCTTCTTTCTTTGTTTTCCTTCTTTTCTTCCTTCTGCTTTTAAACTTATGACCCTTAACTGCATGGCTAAACATTTGGTCCAAGTGTCATTTGTTGGACTTCTGGTTTTGGTCAAGATGGAATAAGGAGTAACTCATTTGACTAAATAATCAGACAAAATATATGAAACAACAGGACTTTGTGCACATCATGGTCAACACTAATTCATATCCATTACCACTGTAAATCACTGATACGGTAGTACAGGGAAAACAGATGGCTGTTCTGTAATACCTGGAGATTGTTACACAAAGATTGAGAACCAAGAGCCAAAAGCAAATGTTCAGAGGGATTTAGTGGCGACTGAAGTGTTATCAATACATATA